TTCTCTCTCTCTCCATATATATATATAAAGAGAAGTAGATAATTATATGATGCCAAGTGGCATAACCATAAGACGACAAGTGTAGATTTTTAGGAAAAAGCTCCAACAAAGTTGGAGTTTTAAAAGTATTTTAAAATAAAAAACGAAATTAAAAAAAAAATAAAAAGTTGCCAATAAAAAGTTACACTTGGCGATGTGGCAATAACACCAAACTGAAAGAGGACACATGGTTGTTCTGATTTTATTTAATTTTTTCTTCCCATACTTTCTCTTTTTTCTAAAACTCTCCATTAACAAACCTTCAAACATATGCCTCCGGTTTTGATAAAGATAGCTTTTTGGACAAAGTCGCCGGTGATAGAGACAGGGATAGAGTTTCACAAATCCAAACACGACCATCAATGGTGAGTCGATGGACGGATCAACGGACTAGCGGGACACCCGCAGTCATCAAGAGGTTTGTCTTAGTAGCAATCTAGCAACAGAAAGTCACCGAAGACCGTTATACAAACCACCGAAAAGTCAAGAAGTCACCGAGATACAACTATCTTTTAAGGAGGAAGGATCTGGGTTTCCGAACAAAAATGGTTGAGGAACACAATAAAGAATAATCTTGCTCTAGCTGCAAATAAAATTAAAATACATACAAGGAAGTAGGTATAGAAGAAGTTGTTGCTACTTTTGGTTGAAAGAGTTCTGATCTCTTACAGACGAATGATACTATGTAGTTATACCATTACAAAGCAAAATAGTTTGAACTTCAAAAATGGCATGCGCCTGTAATCAAAAGAGTATAGTATATATTATTGAACATAGTTTGAACAATATTTTGGGTATATAAAGTTCTAATTTGTTGTAGATTATTGGTCCACATAGCCTGAGAGTGTTGAATTACAAGGTTTGCTGCATCAGAGGTCACTGGCAACGAAGAAAGAAGAAGAAAGAAATTCTTTTAAATATTTTAGTTAATCACGTGCTCAAGAGCAAGTGTAAATCACTCTTTGTGCCACCTCAGCATGAGGTGTTTAATTGGCACATTTTGTACACGGTTAAAGTGTCTAACATGTAATAGACTCAGTTAAAAGTGCCTAAGTGAAAGATAGTGACAAGTTTAAGGGGCTATCTATATATTTGGCCTTAAAAAGACACATTAGTAAATGTATCATACTAACTACTTGCTAATTTAATAAAGAATAAACAATTTATTTGATTACTATATGTTGTGTATCCTTTGATTTTGTATAGATTTTGTTCTATTTATGTACACTACATAAAATAATAAAATAATAACTAATATTTATTAAAATAATATGATATATCAGATCATAATTCATAATTTTATAAGATTAATATTCTATCAATTAATCCGCGCATCGCGTGGGTTCTAACGCTAGTTGTTATTAAAACAAAAGAAATGAAAGATGCAAATCCACAGTGGAAAGAAATTTATGTCTTGCACACATGTAATCCTAATCTAGTGACTCTAAATTATTACGGAATTAACCATAAGTAACTAAAGAAGGTCAAAGAAAATACAATTACAGGGACGTATACAGCTTATCACTCACCTCCCTGCCTATTATCGCAATTGAAGGGACAGTTAATAGCCATGGCAACTGTCCAAACACACTGGACTCCAACGGTCTGGTGCACAGCAAGACCAAGGTGGCAGCAACCATTAGCTGTTGCAGTCGAGAAGACAGTTATATAAAAAATCCTAACATCATCCTTACAAGAAAATACACCACCATGTCTCATGCTTATAACCTGCAATTTTGCTAGTAACCAAAATTGCAGGCAAGCATGACAATCCAATTGAAACAGAACAATAGAGAATACCTTGTCAGCGACTGGATCTAAAAATGCACCAAAGGCAGTTCCTAAGTTCATCTGGGCATGTCAAACAATCTAAGATTGTGATATCCAAAATATGGGAAGTAAGAAATCCAGAAGAGATGATAATATGAAACCCAAAACAGCAGAAATGAGAACCTTGCGAGCAAGGTATCCATCAAGCCAGTCAGTTATTGCTGCTGCAATAAATATAGCCGTTGTAGCAGTTGGGCCCCACCAGCTATCAACATAGAATGCTAGATTAAACAGAGTACAAGATCAGTTTTCTTCATACAAAATACCAATTGCAAACAATGTATACTCTCATTTATCAGCCTGAGGTTCTGCCACGAATCGAAGAATGCTACTATACAAATTAAAACAGATCTTATGTTTTTATTACCTTCAATCAAAAAAAGAAAAACAAATCTTCTATTTCATCACATTTTCAAGACGGCTGGATAAATAGAAAGAACTTGCACAAAGGATTGTCAATCAGTAAACATTTCAATGACCTACTCATGCATGAAGCCACCAGACACTATATTGACACTGGCACTTGTGACCTATGGAGGTCCACCTATATTAGCTTCATGCATAGCCAGTCCCAAACCCAGATAAAGACGAGGTCTGTGATAGGTTGATGGTCAGTGTATAAAAATTCCTAACAATGATGAGTCTCTAAATATTGAAGGAAGGGGCTAAACATTATGAAATAGATTAGAGGATTTATATAGCTGGCCTAACTAGTTTGAGCTTCAAGCTCAAACTTATAAAGCTAGTTTGAGCTTCAAGCTCAAACTTGAAGGAAGGGGCTAAACATTATGAAATAGATTAAAGGACTTATATAGCTCGCCTAACTAGTTTGAGCTTGAAGCTTGATTGTTCAATTAACTTGTGACCTAACTAGACCATGTCCAACAAATTTCCAAAAGGAACTTATAAAGCTATACCAAATCAAACAGAACTATGCAAGTGGAAGAAACTAGATGCACCTATATGGTTCCGGTCAATAGCCAACAAGAAATAACAACTACACCTTAGTCCCAAACAAGTTTGGGTCGGGCGATATGAATCCTCATATCTTCCGGTCAGTAGCCAACGTAGTTTATTAATGCTATACTTAGTTGCTTACTGGAAAGCTTTGTAACAACTCAGAAGTGACCTGCACAACGTAGTGCATAAATATCATCAATTTGCGGAATCAGACCGAGTTTGCTATTTTCTACTGAACTTATACCAAAATTTGCAAAGGTGTAAGCTTTTCCAGTGTCTTAGACCACAAGCAGCCATACTTCAACAAACTTCGAGTAAATATTCCAAATAACTACTGCATTGTTTTCGGACATGAACAAAATTTGTGATTTTTCAAGGGACTAGCAAATCACGATAATGCTAGGTTTATTCCTTGCTCAACACCGAAATAGACCCCTCCAGTGGAAGCATTCTCTTTACTATTTATACCGGTGGTGTCTAGGCCAGTGGCGGAACTAGAAATTTATGCAAGGAGATTCAAAAAATAATCAGGATGTCACAATTGGGATTTAAACCTATAACCTAAATTAACTTTTGAACCCCCTTCACTAAAATACTTGAACTTTTCTTCATATCAAGGGGATCCAACAGCTCACATACATCCAAAACTATCATTTTTACCCTATTTACTTAAATAGTGCAATTTTTCGGCGAAGCGGGTTCGGTTGAACACCCCTCATACTATTTAGTTCTCCCACTGGTCTACGCTAGCTTATACACCTCGACTATTCTATCAGGTATTACCACCTTTTGCCATCATAGGGACCGGGTAACTCTACGTCTCTACCTACCAAGATTTAGGCAAATGGGAATAAATCATTTAGTGTTTTTTGTCTTCGCTAGAATTTCAACTCTGGTCTCCAAGGCTTTCACCCACTTCATTAACTGCCAGGCCACTCTTTCGGGTGCTTCCAGAGTTGAAGGTCTTGTTTCACGTTTATCAATTAGGTGCTTTTAGAATGTATTTGGAATAAGAATGTCAATCAACGACACTCTCTCAATCACAAAATTGTTGTCCTTTTTGATTACTAAGAGTCAAAGGTGGTGCTCTTTGATTAAAATTTTTAAATCTATTATGTCGCTATTTTGAAATAAAAAGAATTACAACTTATAGCACTTTTCATGCGGTGTATTAATACATTATTTAAGCTTCAGAAAACACTTAACAAATTATGGCAAATGTAAGACCAAAAGCAATCAATTGATCCTCCTACAGTAAAAAGGACCAAAATTATGGGAAGAGTATATTTAGGCCAAAGGCGTTCTCATTTCAACAATCCCAATTTTAATTACTTCCAGTATCCCCCACATCTATCCATCTCGTTATAACCTTCTATATTACATTCCACATATAATCCACAACTAAAAGACCAGATTTTAGTTACTTCACCCAACGTCTCTCCCACTAAAGCCAATTATGAATTTATCCACAAGTATTTAATTAAGGGAAATCTAAATTCATCAATCATCAAAGAGCATACATTTTTTAAAATTCATCCAGCAAAAATATCAGATAAAAATTCATACAGCAAAAATAGTTGAGAAACTTACTGCTTACAAGAAGCGGAACAGCAGCCACGCGGCCAATTGTTAAAATCGTGGGCAATGTCAGTAACTTCTCAGACTTCGATGGCGGCGGTGGTGGAGATGCTTTTTCACGGCGGAGATCATCCTCCTTGTGATCAGGTGCGGGGCCCATCTGAGTAGTAGAAATACTTCTCAATGGAAAATTAGCATATCCCTTATCCAAAAAACCTAACAATTTCTGACGGTGACGAAAATCACCGGACGCCGGAATTGAAATTGAAGAACCCCACCAACAGCGGCGCGTATAAGTGGGCACACTTACGGCGGCGGCGGCGGTGGCGGAGTTAGAGGTGCCGGTGACGGAGGTAAAAGAGCGGAAGAAATTGTAGGTCTTGTGAGAATAAATAGAGGTCACAACGTTGAGTTTAAGACCACCGGGCATGTTGTAGTAATACTACTACTAATAGGCGACAGCTGCTTAAGGTTAGTAAAGTTGGGGAGTCGTAACAACTAAACAAACATCAAAGTACTTTGTTTCTTCGAATTGAAGAATGGAGTGGGGACAGTTAAAGAGGGGATATCTCTGCTTTTTCACTGATATTTCTTACAAAAAGAATATGTCCAAATATTTGTCCTTTACTCGATACTCATATCTGTACCCTCTTTTGCTGAAGTAGTACTAAATTACAAGAAAATCATATGTATTCTTCTAATAGTTATAGTGTTAGTATCAATTTATGCGTCTTTCAATTATTACTTTTTACTCGTATAATTACCACATAATTTTACCTATTAAAATTTAGTCGGAATTCGAACTCGGTTCTCACTAGACCACGCCTTTAAATGTTAAACGTGCTAATAATTTGGATCCTCATATTTTGGAACAGGGCAACCTCTTTATTTGGTTGTCTTGGATAGATCCATGAATTGGGATATCCCAACTTCTCTATAGCTAATCTCATCATTTATACTACAAATGATTTTCGAAACTAATTAATATTTGGAATTAAACATGAGATAAAATAATCATGTATTTTATCTCGGAATTATTTACCCTTATCCCACACCTTTAAGGAGTTATTTGGTTAGTAGGAATGTAGGATAAGGGATAATAACTATATAATTAGATGCGGGATTATTTTATCCCGCGTTTGGCTAAAATTACAAATCTAATAATTAGCAAACCCATGATTAATTTATAGTCTTATACTACAATTGTGATATTATTCTATCCACTTTGAGGGTGAAATAATAATTTTAGAATTATTTAATCTCGGGACAAAATACTACAATGACAAAGATGCCATTTTGCAAGGCTTTCCCCCAAAGCCCTTTAAAAATTAAAGGTTAAAATTTAAAATAAAAATGTATCCCAGCTTATATAATATACACCAAATACATATTTTATATTATAACCCATAAATTTTATTTTTAGTCCAATGAACCAAACATCTCCAATAAAAATATATCCTTGAAATAATCCAATCACTATTTAATTCTTATATTATAATCTTGTCATTATAATTTATTCCCCAACTAAACAACGATTAATTCCAGGGGCATCTCTAAAATATCTAATGGAGGATCAATTGATGAATGATATATACTCTAATACAACTTTACAAATTTAAAAAGAATTAAATTAATTTACTATTAAAATTTAAATCTTGATATGTTACTTTCTCATATAATTTATTTTAAGTGATTGTGTTATTNGGGGGGTTCATCTTAACTCCTATTGTTTTTACTGTAGTTGTTTGTTCAGTGTGTATCAACATTTTACTGAAATTTGATGTGGTCCAGTAGAGTACAAAAAATTAATTAACTAAATTAAGTGACAAAATAAGAAGATCAACTTAGAAGAAATGGAGTCTCATCGAGAATTAATTTTATAATGAAAAAAAAAAGTAGTAGAGTATATAACAAAGTGCTTGTTGCTTAAGAATAGACTTTAAATAAAAAGGGGTCGGGGGATCACGGATTATACTGCTACACCAAATAGGCAAATACATATATACCAAAGTAATAAATATCTGACATGTTTGCTTATATAAAGTTTATAATTTTCATAGTTAAATAATATTTATTTATTTTTTGAATTGTCATTGTGATGAATTAACATGGTTGTTGCTCCATACACCATGCAAACACAAACATTTTTCAAAAAAGTATTGCTTGTCGTACATGTTTAATTAACTTCATTTAAATTGGACTGTGAATGGATCTCAAGGGTGCAAGAGTAGGTTGTGGGTAGGATATTAAAGAACCCGCATCTTACCAACTCTTTACCCATATTCGCTTTTGGACACTATAATTTCAACCTTCTCCCTGCCTACTCCTAACCTATAATCCTATATATGGTTTTCGGCACTAAACTTCAACTTATATCATTTTGGGTGTCAACATTTGCAATACGATACAATTACACATTTACAATTATGGGCTCAAAATTTGATATTCATTAAAATATTTGCGCTTGATCATATATATATATATATATATATGAGTTTTGCTAACTTACTACGTAGTTATAGTAGGTTAGCACTGTATACATATTTATTTTCCATAAAAAAACCCTTGCACCATTCCACCAATGAATAAATGAGAGGGATGTTTTTGTCTTTCCATCAAAAACTAAACATAGTTCCCGTTTCCCCTTTCTCATTTACACGTTGCTCTCTCCATCTGCGAATAAAAACTTGAGGCATTTGAGTGTCTTACAAATTGTTTGCATTCTATCATTTTCTTTCTCTTTTTAATTTAGATAGTCTCCATAGAAATTAAGATTTGAATTCTTTAGATTTAGTGTGAATAATTTGGATATATATTTTCTGTCAAGATTTTTTGAGTAAAAAAGATATGAAATAAGCCGCAGTCACAAGCATAAAATTGGTCAACCGATTAAAGATAAACCATAATCTCTTTTCTTGAAAATATTTAAATATTTGAGCTAAATAATTTTCTTTCCTCTGTTTTCCAGCGCCTCTTTTTTTCTTGCAATGGCTACTGCAAATTTTCAACGAGATCTTCGTTGCAGTTCAATTGAAAATGAAGAGATGCACAATCCAAATTCCAAACACATATTATCCATGAATCATAAATCCTAGTCGACAAGTTCTCTTACAAAGAAAAAGAAAAAGAAAAACAGAAGAGAGAGAACAGAGGGGGGCGCCTCGACTAGGGAGAGAAAGAAAAGAGAATACGGAAGGGAGAATTGGGTTTAGATTATAATAAAAAGACAATAATGCCCCTCCTATTAATGTGTGGTTTGTTTGTTGGTTACGGGGTTTTTAGGAAAAATAAATATATATACAATGCTAACCTACCGTAACTATTATAATAGATTAGCAAGACCATATATATATATATATATAATCCGCCTATGCTGTAGCATGTACTACTATATACCAGTGTTCATCTTTATGCATCCATTTGTTTTCTCTCTAAAACTAATCCCTCAATGTGGATATTTTAGGTGGAATTGGAGTTATCGTGCCTAGCTGCCACACGCTAAAAGTAAACATAAATTTGACAGTGTTGCTATACATTGATTTAGTAAAACGGTACTCCACTTTCATGAGAAAGTTATTCGTAAAATACGTGTGATTTTTTTAATGGGTGCTAGTTTTTTCAACGTTCACCTTCTACACATGCAAAAAGAATCTATACGTAATATGATTTCCACTGATCAAAGTCAATGGAGAGTATATATATATATATCATAGGCAACCCCACAACCCACACAAGCACAGTCTAGACGCTATCAATTTTGCTGATATCATGAATTTCAGTTCTGTTTTACTAGGTTTACAATTTTTCATTCATCTTTTATCCATCTATCTATATATATCTATATTATTATAAAAGCATGAATGCTAAGCGTTAAATCTTGAACGATAAAAATATCATCGAAATATTGATTGACTTTTATGTCCCTAAAATTTAAATTTTGTTTTTCAAAAAGATAAGGTATTGGATAGAATAGTAATATTAACCTCATCAACTATGTCGAATTCTGATTCAACTAAAATTTTGCTTCCCTAAATTTTGGTCAACTGGCCATGAATTTGAAATCGTTTCCAATTCAAATTGACAATTTTTTTCATTTCAATTAACCCAAAAACTTACAATTATCCTTTTTCTTTTATAAATCAAAGTTCCATCTGGATTACACAAGGAAAAAAATAAGAATGCTGTAATAAAAAATTATAAACGTCGTTGGTATTTTATTTTGAGAAGATAAATAAAGAAATTAAATTATAGAAGCCATAAAAGCTACGGAAAGCATATATAATAGCCACCAAATGTGTTTTATAATTACTCGGCTACTAAATAGTCAATTCTTTTAATATTATTATTATATAATTCTTTCCGAAGGTTAAGCAAACTTGATTTTGTAATTCCTACCTTCGTCTTTATCTTATACAACGAAAATCGGACTACAAGCTAATACATACTTTTAGTATTTTNAAAAGCTACGGAAAGCATATATAATAGCCACCAAATGTGTTTTATAATTACTCGGCTACTAAATAGTCAATTCTTTTAATATTATTATTATATAATTCTTTCCGAAGGTTAAGCAAACTTGATTTTGTAATCCCTACCTTCGTCTCTATCTTATAAGGTGTTTGACAACGAAAATCGGACTACAAGCTAATACATACTTTTAGTATTTTATTAACTTGAATACATATCTTATTTATAAGTGGATGTCATAAAGTTAAAGATATTTAGTCATGCATCAAGCTAAGTCAATAAATCTTTAATTACATCTCCTTGATAAGTAATTGGGTAAAAATTATATCGGAAAGTCAACTTTATTTTGAATTTTTATAAATAACCAAATATGCAAATTATAACTAATATTTATACTTAATGTACTACATGAAAAGGTAAAAATTGCAAATTGTTATAGCATCGTCAAGAACTATGTTTCAATTGTTGGATATCGTCTTAACCTGCAAATGTTAAGTACTTTAGATAGTATTTGTTCTTATAGCATAATAACAAATAGATCATCTTTGCATGTTAAGACGAACATCCAATCGTTGAAATTCAAGTTTTATGTTAATGTAATAACATTGATATTCAAAGCAATTCTTTCCTCTTGTATATAAAATATTTTAATAACTTTAATTTATTGTTATATCATAAAAATAATTGACTGAAGATTTACGTGCAACGCACGTATATAGAGACTAGTACTATAATTAAAAGCATGAAAACCCTTAGCGAAATGTCATTCCCTTTCTTACCCATTAAAAATTAATTTCACATTAGATAAAATAGTTATTTAATTATTTCTCTTATTTTAGAATTTTAGATCAACTAAAATTTCCCCTACTAAATCTTCCCTTATATGATAGATTTACGAACTACATTAGAAATTTAAAATCAAATAGGATTTTACTTCTATAAATTCTAACAAATTAGTATAAAGAATAGTTGTAAAAGTTTCTCAAAGATCGGAGGCTTAATATGTGTTCTCAAAGTTTGATGTTGACAATATTGTTTGGTGTTTCTCCCGATGATGAGATCTAAGAGGAGGATTGGTAGCTATAGTTTGACAATAATCACTTTGAATAAATCTTATAATGAATAGATCTATGTTAGTAGTTAGTAGGGTTTCGCGAAAGGGTTTATGCCGAGTATTCTATCCCGTGGTATGGTAGCTATGATTTTGATGGATATCACTCAAGGATTAGTAAAGAAGATTTGATAATATATAATATACACATACTACACATCTCAATATAGTTTTTATTTTATTTTATTCTTTTTGTATTATATATTTGTTTATAATTCACATAGGTTGAGGACATGGTAGCTAAATATATGTGCAATTGATTATCTTCTTATTTTCTCAAAGATTTGGTTGATTTATGCCATAATTTCTCTTGCACCTTCTTGCTGGTTTTTCTCTATCTTGCTACATCAAGGCCTTGGCTATCGATATATTACAGAGGTGAAACCAAAGAAAAGTTAGAGCTTCTTTGGATTTCATAATCTTTAGAAATATCTTTCTAAAGTTTGTCACTACTTTTTTGTTGCAAACGTGTATGCTTTCAAATCAATTTTGTTTGGGTGAGATATTTTCGAATTATAAACTAATATTATAATAATTATTTTACAAATTTATCATCCAGAGCATATATTAACCATCATTATACCAATTCACTATGCAACTTGTGCTAAACAGACGATGGATTATACCTAACAATATCTAATACAAATATAAAAAATAGCACCAGGTAAAATAATGAAAGTAAATTAAAGGATATAATTTAAAAGGCATAAATGAGAGAAATTGTAGAAAAGAAAACGAACATAATATAGGAGGAAAAAATAGTTAAAGATTCTTAGATGAAGGGGAAAATATTTAGGGTCAAAATGATAACATTACAATTTATAGATTAGCATTGAAAAGTTATTTTTTTTTTTGCTCTCGTTTTAAATTAAAATAAAGATTGGGGTATCTTTGTATTATTACTAAAATACGCTATGCAAGCATCTATTTATCTATACTCTATATACTATATTATAAGGCTTTTAGCAAAATGCCATTCGCTTTTTTTACCATTAAAAATAAATTTTTAGATTGAACAAAATAGTAATTTAAGTTATTTTTCAAATATTTTGAACTTTGAAATCAATTAAAATATTAATTATTAAATCTTTCCTTATTAGAAACTCCTAATATTTAATCCCACCCCGCACAATAACACTGCCCAAAAGACACATCTTTTTTGGATTTCCAATTCCAATTCTTCTCTTGTATATGAGAGCTAAGGGAACTAAATACTTTTCTCAGGTTACATTCATCTCCATTACAGCACATAGGTATCTTCTTCTTTCTCTTTATTTTTGCTTCTGTCCTTTTAACCACTTGCCATCTTATATTTTTTATTATTTTGATGCGTGATTTAATTAGTTTTCAATTTTTCGTTAGTGTCCTGCTTTACATAACATCTTGTTTTTTCTTCTCTCTACTGTTTTGTATTCTCAAATTCAATATTTTTTATTATTTGTTCCTATTTTTGAAATTAGTTCTAAAATATATTTACAATATTGTGTATTTCACACATAAAGTTAAATATTATTATTTTTGTTATCACACGTAATTGCTTATACGTAATAGGCGGAGAGGGAAGAGACTTTGATTGAGAATTTTTTAGGACAATCTTGTAATAATGACTTTTTTCCTTTTGTTTTATTTTATAGCACACAAAATATTTCTTACAATATTTATTTATGCGATTTCTAAAAAGTTTAAATTTATTAGTATGTGTGCGTACTCTAAAACTAGTACTATATTAAAAGCACGAAGACTCTTAGCGAAATGTCGTTTGCCTTATTTACCCTTTTAAAATAGAGTTCACACTAGACAAAATAGTCATTTGATTATTTTTCTAATATTTTGAAATAATTATTTAATTATTTTCCTAATATTTAGGAATATTTACTTAAGTATGTTTCTATTATTTAGGACTTTACAGTAAGATAAATTTCAGTTATTAAATCTCTTCTAAAATTTCGGAATTTAACAATCAAAATTTTACTTATATAGATCTTCTCATTGTTTTAATTGTGTTTAACTATATAAAGTATTTCAAAGAGAATCTCATAATGAATAAATTTCTTCCGAAAAGGCATTCTAGGTTTGGCACGTCAGGTATGCATAGTGTTCAACTTATGTTAAAAGGTTATCGTTTCTACAAATTTGCCGTCTAATGCTTCTTCGCGTTGCCATATAAAAATTGTTTTATTGTTAAAAGCATGTACACTATTATTTAGAAAGTTAATTTTAATATTCTTTGCGATCTTTCATTGCCATAAGTACTAACCACAATTCTTGATAAATGCATATTCACGTTCAGACCAACAAAAAAGAAATCTTTTTTGCTTACATTGTCCATTAGTATCAATAACTCCAACCTCTTCATTCCAATTTATTTAATTAGACTTCCAATTTATTACTCAAACATAATTTCTAATAATATTTATGACTTTTATAAACAATTTACTCACTGGAGCTAAAGTACACGCGCGAGACACGTATCATAAGACTAGTACTATTAAAACTATGTAGTGTACTATTTTCCTCATCTCTTCCGTTACTAGTTGCCTTTCCCCTGGTTCCTCACCGCGATGAATGCAACAAGACGGAAAAGTTATGATCTTCCACAACTCTATTTTCTTCCTAATTTCTTTTCACTTCCACACAATAAACCAGCTCATATTTTTGCATCTGGTCCTCTGCATTTTCTACTTATATTTATAAGAGCTTTAATAACGTGCTTACTTGACCGATAACCCCAGACCATACGTCCATATTTGGTTGTTTTAGAGACCACCATAATGGTACTCAACGTTGATCTTCAATGCCCCAGCTACTACTAGGAGGTCAAGCAAAGTGTTATGCACAGACCACCGGAAATCCTAAACTCAAAGAGACAGCATGTAGAATGGGCTATGCACCAACCTCTGGAAATTCCCAAATGGGTTAAGCACAAACCACTAGAAATTTCCCAACTTACACAAACAGCATGTAGAAAGTTGCACTATCAAAGACATCAGCTAAGTAAAACATAAAAAAGAACACAAATCACTACGTCTGAATCACTTCAATTACATCAGAAGGTATTAGGTAGGAATGACTATGCCTAAAAAAATGTTCGCTTGTGTTGTATGCTTGTGACATGACTTCTGGTTCTGCTCTAGCAAACAAGCAAAACATCTTCAGAATCTAAACGTTGAAGAAGGGACATGACTTCTAATTCTGCTTGAGCGCCTTACCGGGATGATGACTTCTTCCCTTCCACTTTCATGCTTGCCATGAATCCTCTCGTATGTAGTGATACTTCCAAAAGAAGGTGAACCCATTGAGTACTCATCAAATGCAGCCAGGGACTCTCTCCTATTACTCTTTCTATGTTTCTTCTCTATGCTCTGAGCTTCATCATTTACTGATTCGGGGTATTTCTCTCTATAAGTTGAACTCATCTGAAAGCTGCAGCTCATTTCTGAAGTACAAGAGTACTCTCCTGCGACATCAACCTCTGTTGGCCAGTTTTGAGAGGAATATTCTTTCTCTTTGACAACATTATGTTCTGTCACATTAGGAGGAACAATTATTGGAGAGCCCGACGAGAGTCCAACCTTGGACAAAGAAAATCACATTACTAGGAGTTATTGCAAGTATGATAATAGGGTGCATTTACTGTATGATTTCAATAGTATATCTACATATAATATTCTGTCAACTATCAATTTGATAATAAGCGCAGGCAGATGCTGGTGAATTTGAAGTTCATCTACAATTTTCTTACTTGAGACTTCATCTACTGGATGCAGAGTGATCTTATCACTTCTTCTCTTTAGATAGATCTGGAGAACTGTAGCAGCTAGCAGACCCAGGACAAGTGAGGATGAGGAAATTCCCAGGACATGGAATGCTCCAACATTACCTCCATTTCTATCAATCGGAGATCTCTGCAGCATTTCCAAAGGTTGGGCATCTTCAAAAGCAGAATCGTCTTTCACAAAGCTTAAGCTTTCAGTATTAATGTGGTTCACTGACTCAAGTACAGAATCAAAACTGATAGTTGTTTCGGCCAACTCAAGCTGAAGATATGAAGCTGTAAGACACCCTTGGTCTAGATCCCTTTCTGAGCTATCAGAGTATTCATTCCCCTTTGCTAGGCGAACTAAAGAAACTTTCTCATGCTGCCCTAGTTCTAGATCATTTTCTGAGCTATCAACCTCATTTACCTCAGCTAATGGAGAATCAGTACTTGATACATCAAAAGCAATCATGAGTATTACCAACAGCAGAGAAAAGAACTTCGATATAGTTGAGGACCTTAGTTTTGTTCTCATTTTTGCTTCATCTATTTCTTCAACGACAGGTATTCTGACAGGTATTGCAGGTTCAAAAATTTTAGGCACCTTCGCTTTTTCTTGATCAACTGCTCTCAGACATGAACCTGAAATTTATATCTCTCAAAACAAACTTCCGTAGTATACATGCCTCTTATTAGTGGGAAAATAAAAACGCGCTCCACTAACTAATGCAAGTTTCATGAGATGATTGGCTAAATCCTAACAGAAACCGTGTAAAGTAAATCACACATATTCAGAGCCTTAAGTGATGTATGAAGATGACGGAGAGCTTGGGAGGATTGATTGCTTTCCCAAAACATTTGCTATCATAGTTGGTTCATATATGTAATCCTTCAAAATCTATACACACACAGAGAGAGACAATAATTCTTGAAAATTTAGATTTATAGTACATTTCTATTAACTTCAAATGCAATTCTCAATACCGAAAACCACCCAAAGAATTGATACCTCATTATTTAATTCCAAATTCTCTTATTATGCTATTATATTTTGAATCAAAATTCTCTTGTTATGGTATCAGGATTTAAAGGGTTGGGGGTTCCAACCAAAAGAGAAAAATGAAAACACTGGGAACACAAGATAAATAGGCTATTATATTGTTTAGCAATACTGTCCATTGTAAGTAATAATGTACTTAATATTTCCTGAATGATAGATGAGTATATCATAGAACACCTGGGGAAAAAATAGTATTCTACTGTTTCAGGCATACCATCAAACACCTTGAACTTGTAACCAAATAAGAAAAGCACATTTTTCTTAAGGCATGAAGATTTGAAGTCAAAAAGTCGGTTCAAAACCAGATTGGCATACAAGACAGACTTCTTTCAATACCAGGTGACAGTTGTGTCTATAGCTATTACATCAAACTTACTGTTTCTTTCAGATACCTAAGCAAATTAAATAACTTGAATTGTGCAAGTTATAGCTCCTACTTTTTGATTGAAAACCAACAAACCAAAACATAGCAACTCGCACACTTGATAGGCAGTTTAGAAAGCACACCATTTGAGAAGCATCGGGAAAAAGGAGTTAAAGTCAGATTTGTATCCACCAAATACTCAAAATCATGCAATTGGGTATCTATTATGTGTAAATCAGATGCAATTACTGACATACATTGGATTAAAACAGCAAAATCCCATTAGCAACAATCGGAATGGAGCAAAAATACTCACCAGAATTGAGAAGTAGAGGACACACATCGAGCCCTAAATGGAGAAACTTTGAGAGGAAAACAGAGGAGCAAAAATTTGAAGAAATTGAGAGAGAGAGAAAGGAGCGGCTTGTAAGCTAGAGTTCGGTGAATATTGGTTCGAAGAAAAATGTGTTTGTACATTGAATTTGATTTTAAAAAAAAAGAAGCAAAAGTCCTAAATATTTCGTCACAATTACTAATTTATCCTCGTAACAGAACATAAATGTAGGGTATAATAGACAATCCATTCAGATGCGGACTCGTTTCGTCTTGCCTCAACTTGGGTCGTGGATCGATTGTAAACGGAATTTTTTAAAGTGAAATTTATGCTGAATACAACTTATTTATAACTTATTTTAATAAGTTACAACACCTTTTATAAAATTACATAAATTATAATTTTTTTAAAATTTATAACTTTTTATATCTCTAATATATCTCTATTGCGATTCTCTCGCCTAAAAAGTATCCTAATATATCTCTCATATTCCGTCTCACCTAAAACATGCCTTTTCGGTTTTTTAAATTTTACAAGATTTTCATGTTCTCCCTCTAAGAACCCCTATACACCATCCAAAAATAGCCACCCCTACCCCCACCCCAAAGTTTGCTTCTTCATTTATATATATATAAACTGATACCATTCCTAATTCCTTAAAGTATGCCAAAATTTTTGGGTCATGTTAATTCAATTTATTAAGTTTCGCACAAATAAAGGGAGATGGATATCTTTCTTGATATATATGGCAATCAATAGTTGTATGAAATGTAATATAAGAATTTGTTGTATTTTCTGTGATATAGTCTTCTAAGTCTTGCAATTATGAAAAGTTCCCATTTTTAAACTTATTTGAAACCTTATTACCCTTACTAGCCAAATTTTAATTTAATTACATGATCATATACACTTTACCAATTATATACAAATAAGTATTAAATGAGTATCCCTTTATATTAGGAATTGAATAAGTAATATCAGTTATTTTCTTATCTATTTATACTTGCCCTCTCTCTCTCTCTCTCTCTCTCTCTCTCTCTCTCTCTCTCTCTCTCTCTCTTCGTGTCTCTACTCTCCTTCTCTGTTTTTTTCCCCAATTTTTCTTCATTTGATGTTCTTTGTTTTTTATGCTTTCTTGTTGTATAGAGTTTTAATAGAATTCATCAATAGATTTTAATCGTTTTAACTTAGCAATTTCCTTTCATGTTGCACAATTAATGTTCAAATTGAAATTGTCAATCAATAAATTTTGAAGGTGTTTCACTTTCCACCATTGACAGCCATTAAAAAGTTTTGAAGCGTTGAAATCGAATTTGGGTTTTCAAAAACTATTATTTGTTTAGATTGGGTGTTGTTACAAACAATTGGGAATATTATTTGGCTTAATTTCAGATTGAAACTCGAAAAATAATAAGAAGAAGAACACATGATATACAATATACTTACGAAATTGTTGTAAAGTTGTATTATAATTGTATGTAAATTATATTCTGTTGTAGTTAATTTTTATTTGAATATTGTATGAAAGTTAAAACATAGTTGCATAATGTATGAATCGTTGTATAAAATTTATATTTAAGTTATCAATACTATCTTTTTACATAAAGTTGTTGATATGTATCAAAATTGTATTAAGAGAGTAAGTTTTGATTGCAATTTTAGAGAGAAAAAAGCACACACCACATACAATATATATATAAATCAGATACAAAATATACAAAAGACATATTATATAAAATTTGTATTTAAGTTGTATGATATTGTAGTTGTATTTAACTGGGTATAAATAATGTATGAAAGTTGTACAGTAATATATAATTAGTTGTATGAAATTTATTTTTACTATGTATGATGTTGTAGATATTCAAATTTGCATTAAATTTGTACGAAATTTATTTTTAATTTGTATGTTGATATACCATATCGACACATGTACACCGATTCATAATTATTTCAACGGAAAAACTTGAATATTGATGAGAACTGAATGATTTGGGTGGAGTGAAGCAAGAAGAAAGGGAGTTAGTTTAGAAGTTCCTGGTAAATGTCGATACATGAGTTTTATTTACAAATAACTTGCCTTGAATCTGTAGCTATTTGCAAGATTCCATATATTTTGAAAATAAATTCTAGTTAGAAAGAAAGTGTGAAAAAATAAGGAAAAATATTTGGGTATCAGGCAGATGTGGTGAATCAGACAAATAATGCCTTGAATCTCATTATCAAATGATTAGTGCTCGATGTGGATGTTCTTTCGTAAAGGAATAACTACAAATACTAGTAGAAAAACAGTTAACACTTTTGGGATTGCAAAAGAAGAAGCGGTCAGTGGTATAATTAAGGAAAATAATGGGTCACTCCTGATTGCCATTGCTTTTGGACGTCTATGTGTTCTTCAATTTCAAGGTATTAATGTTTACATCAAATATAAAATTGACTGGTAACTCCTATTTTCCTACTGCATGGTAAAATATGTAGCGTGGCTTCAGTACCCACATAATTTGGCACTCAATTAATAGAGTTTTGAGCGGAGAGAGGCAACAGAGAATAGGGCAAGAGGAGATGAGAAAAGAAAAGAAAAGAGAGTAACCGAATCCCCTAATTTAAGGCACTAATAATGGATTGTATATAAATTATAACTAAATCTTTGTTAGGGCAGAAAATATATAAAATTAAAACAATTTTGATAAATAAGTTTCAAATATTGTATAGGAAAGAAAACAGAGAAAACTAACTGCATTCATTCGGATAGACAGAAAGAAGGGCCCACTAAAACAACAACTTATCAAGAACCAACCAATAAAAATTCGAATCCCAATTGCTTGATTATCCACAGAAGAATATTTCGTCTTCTTGAGTTATAGAAATATATCAATTCATTTAGAGAGCAAACAGTCCAAGCAAAGTTATGGCTCAGTCATTGTCTCCAATTGCAGCAGCTACATTATCAACCAATAAGAGTATCCTTTTGGCTTTTCATGATAAAAAAGGATTGGATACAACTCTTCTCTCTCGCAGGAGTCTTGCCTTGGGCTTGGCCGGAGTTGCGCTAAATGCAGGTAACAACAAGGCAAATGCTGCTGCAAGAAGGCCTCCACCACCCCCACCCACATCAGATCAGGAGAAAAAGGACCCAAATATGAGTGGTGTCATAGCTAAAGTATTAGCTAGCAAGAGAAGAAAGGAGGCTATGAAAGAATCCATAGCCAAGCTAAGGGAGAAAGGGAAGCCTGTCAAACAACCATCTCAATAGTAATTTGTAACCAATATGTATAAAGACAATGTGTTGCATGCTTGCTTGCTCTGCTTTACAATATTGTTGAGTTATGAAGGATTTTGCAATTATTCTATGCTAAACATTGATCATTTACTTTTGGTGAATATCCTCAGACCCTCTAAACTATCACATTTTTATCCGTTACTTACTTAAATTATTTGAATGTGAATACTTAGAGGTGTGTCTCTTATACGCTCCTATTAACTAAAAACTTTAACATGTGGCACTACACGTAGCTATTTAACACAACCTAAAAAACTCCTTAAACTTATTTTTTAGTTACCAACTTAAACTATCTTGTATCCTAAAAATTCTCCCCAACTATATTTTTGTATATATTAATAACTCTCGTTGGGTGTGTATGTATAACTATATTAAATTATGGTTAGCACTAAATTTTTGTGTAGCTTACTCATGGTATATTACTCTCGGATGACTGATAAATTCTAGGTATTTTGTCTAAAATAGGATCTAATGCAATGTGTTATTTGTAATTTTAATTGAGATTGTATTTTTTGCTAGATTACAGTTGAATAAGCCCTTGTTTGCATTCACTTTGCCGGAAAAAAATAAATAAATGAAGGGATATGATATTGCATTCTAAAATCATCTTATATTATACAAATAAGATTATACAAAGCAATATTCTACAAACAAGAAACTAATCGGCCAACAACTATATTTTCTAATTCTATATTACATAAACAAGGTTCAATCGATTCAACTTTATTCTCTATAAGGATTAGGTTTAATAAAAAGATTTAAATGGATATTCTTTCAATTATATGGGTAAGAAATAAAAGATAACTAAAATAAGAAGGAGAATAAAAAATTACAGAGAAAACAAAAGAAGAAGAATATTTAAGAGGGAACCAATATTGAGAACTGAAAAAAAAACTAGAATATATATACATATATATATACACACACATTCAGGTGAGGTTGTTTTAATGGCTATTTTCATTGACCACACGCCTTTTTGCGAGTCATCTAACACATTTTTCCAGATAACTAACAATTTTTTAATATATAGGGAAAAATAGATTGGAAGGAATTTGGGGACCAAATAGTTTAAGTGGGTAAGTGGCACAATGAATTGTAACGACCCGATAAGTTATTTTTATTATTTGCATTTCTCTTCGGTAGTTCGGGGGCCGCAAGTAGCTTTATATGATGTATCATGACTTGCGTGTATGATCGATTTCGATTTTCGAGCGGTTCAAAATTGATTTAGAAGAAAGATTATCATTTTAGAAGCTTTAAGTTGGAAGAGTTGATCAAGTTTGAATTTTATGTATTTGATCTCGGATCGAAGTTTTGATGCTTTCGTTAGGTCGGAATGATGATTTTGGACTTAAGTGTATGTACGGATTTGAATTTAGAAGTTCCTAGGTAATTTTGGCATGGATTAGCGAAGGTTAGAAGGTTGAAGGTCTGGAAGGTTGATAGGTTTGACCGAGAGTTAACTTTATCGATATCGGGATCAGATTATGATTTTAGGAGTTGGAATAGATCCGTTATGTTATTTGGGACTTGCATACAAAACTTTAGGTCATTTCGAGTTGATTTGATATGGTTCAGCACGAGTTTTGGAAGTTGAAAGTTCATTAGTTCCTTATGCTTGAATTGGGGTGCAATTGGACGGGGTTCCGGAGGGACCGAGTGTGTTTCCGATTAATTTCAGACTAGTTTGAGACTTGGTTGCATTACTGAAGTTTGCTGAGTTCTGGTACTTCCGCACCTATGATGGTTGGGACGCAGGTGCAAGACCACATAAGCGACTGGTTGGCCACAAATATAGTGATTGGTTGGGGAAGGCTGGGTCTGCAGGTTATGGCAAGAGAGCGCC